TGAATGTACAAATGTGCTTTACACAATTGATGTATGTATGGATTGTGATAAGAGTTGTATGAGCCCCTAATAACATGATTTTTAAAAAAACATCTAAAGCGTCACAGTCAGGAGCCAGTCGAAGATACGCCTTCTTCTCATTGTCAGGTCAGATCAAGGTATTGACCTTGACTACCTCAATGTCATCGAGCTTCTTCACAGCCTGTTTGATCTGGTGTTTGTTGGCTTTGACATCCACATGACATCCACAAGTGTGCTGTTATCTTCGATCTTCTTCGTGGCAGACTGTGGTCAAGGGGCACGTGATGACAGTGTAATGACCCAGCTTATTTCTCCTGGGGACGCTCTTCCGAGGGTATTTGAGCTGCCTTCTTTGTCGCAGGGTCTTGGGCCGCTGGAAGGTGGGTGAAGTGTGGCTGTGGACACCATTCGGCAGGGCCTTCTTGGCTTTAAAAGCCTTGGCTTTGGCTGCCGTTTTGGGAGGGGCAGAGCTTCCTTCTTCGCCTTCAGCGCCATCTTCGTAATAAAGCCATAAAATTATTTTCGTTGCTGCTTCATCACTGTCATTTTGCTACTGTTATGAATTGGGTGACCGCTGTGAAACGGTCGTTCGACCCCCAAAGGGGTCATGACTCACAGGTTGAGAACCTCTAGTCTAGGCCATGGGTCCCTAAACTGATTTGGCTATGACCCTATTTGGGGAAGGAAAACAAAATTCAGCACCCCTCTGGCAATTAAAAAGTTCTGTACTATAGCCCATACGCCAGGAGAAAGCCTCTGATTTTGCAGCTCCCTGGCCCGCTGCCGCTGGTATCAGCCACTTTGGGAAACACAGTCTAGAGTGGAGAAGAAGGTGTTGGTGAGGGTTCAGAAAGGAGGGAAACAGTACTGAACGCTTGCCATCCAGTGGTAGAGGCTGAGCCCAGTGGTCTCCCACAGGAACTGGAAAGCAGAGCTTGGAAGCGATGAACTTGGATATCTATCTAAGGTGATGTACAAGTCCAGTATTAAAAGCACAGCTTGGTATATTCAGACAGCTTTTCATAAAATACAAAAGGAAATAATTTTTTTGAAAGTAGAGGATGCAAAAGAGAGGCTAAAACAGATTATTTGGGGAATACGGGTGGTCTCACACATGCACAGAAGCCAACAATGCCCCCACATTTGGTCAACTTCATGCTCTTCTGAAAAAACAAAGGTGAGGCCATATAACCTTTATTAAGCTTTAAAAGGATCTAAAGTTTAGGGTTTTCAATCACACAAAGGATTCTTTGAAGAAATAAAAAATGTGGCTCGTAAACTCCCTCAAATATCTCCACAGAAGTCAGAGAAAAAGATGGAATTATGTAGAATTCGGTTCAGGACCCTCTTATCTAGTGGTACAATGAGTGACCCCCGGGCTTTTTTTAGGTCTCTCATCAGCGAAAGAAGATTGTCTAACTGACAAAAAAACTACATGAAAGGAACCAGTTTGGTAAAATTACTCAGCAGACATTTACTACCTTTCAAGGAAAAGGTAGGATGGTCAAAGGCTCTGCCCAAAGCAGGACCTCAATCCACAGAGACTCACCAAACCCTAATGAAGAACCCCCTATTGCTTTCTACACCAACCCTGTCCATGTTCAGACAGACCTGCTTCACTGCCCCACACTGCTTAAACACCACTGCGTTGTACGGAGGTGTTCGTCAAGTACACCGTAGAGCTCAGGAGCCCCGAAACAAGTGACGGAGAGCTGCGCAGTGGTGAGGCAACTGCCAGAAAAGACACGAGGAAGTTCAATGCCATCAGGTTGATTCCAACTCGTAACACCCCTCCAGGACCAAATACAGCCGCGCCTAGCTGTAAATCCTTACAGAAGCCGAAAGTCTCACCCTTCTTCCTCAGAGGGGATGGTGGGTTGGAACTGCCGACTTTGCAGTTAGCAGCCTAAAGAGCCATCCACTACACCCTTGGA